AATCTAATGGCATCATTTGGGCCAGCACACATCGAGAGAATCAACCCCCTTTTTTTTTCTGTGCTTAAGGTTTTGTGAACAGCGGAAAACAAAAGACTGGTCCAATGAAGCGCATCTTTGCTTGCGGGCTGAATAGAGGGGCCCCTTTCATGGCTGTTTATGAGCACCCCTCTTCAAAAACACACATACAAATCACATCCAGTTCTCCCCAATGGCTCCTCTGATACGAGGATGATGGCAAGGGGAGGGGAGGGGGGGGGGGTTGAATCTTGTGGTGCCTCTCTCCCCTTTCATATGTTCGAATTGATGGATTTCCACCCAGTTTTACTATCGGATCCATCGGTTTGTCTTCATGGGCTGAATCACATGTTGCATGAGGGGAAGTTGGGCATCTCTGCTGAAAACATCATTAAAATGTTTCATATAACAGATACTGGACAGAAGGCAGCCGGTGTTAAACTGTCTCTTGCCTTTGGTGTTTCAAAAAGACGCAATTTATGGGGAAACTTGTAAATTGCATCCCACTCTCTTGTGGTAATCGTGATAGTGTGCAAACAATCAAGTATTTTCATGATTAAGTAATTGACTGCTTTTTAAAAATAGCTGCTTCTCTTTATCTTGCATTTTAGTCAATTAAATAGTGTTTGTGGTTTTGGACTGTTGGTCGGACGTAACAAGATTTGAAACAGTCTCCTTGAATTTTGGACATTTTTACAGTTTTTTCATGTGTTACGGACCAAACAATTAATCAGTTAATCTGAAAAAAATGTATTAAAAAAAAAAGCAGCAAGAATAAATAAGATCACTAATTACTGCCCTAATCTGTTGATTATTTGTTTCCTATTTAAACAAATTTAAACAAAGCACCATATTTTAGAACCTGTAATAAATGAATAGTGTGTGTTAGATGTTGTTTGATTTAATATTGAATTCTTATTGTAGTGTTGATTATTGCAAGCAGCTCTAGCTTAGTTCACCAAAGTGTAATTAAGTCCATCTGTAATTCTGTGGTTTAATATAATTTTAAAAGGATCATAAATAATGCAACAGCAACATGAAAGTAACTTCATCAATTTATCCCTGACTTGTGTCCAACACTTCATAAGAAAATTAAATATATAAAGTACAATCATCATCATTATTTACCATTAGGGTTCTTAGTGATTAATGGATGCTTAAAAACTCTATATTGTCTCTGTGTTTGTTTGCACATGGTCACACTCAGAGGAGGGAGGGAAAGAGAATATATGCTCATGAAAACGTGTGCATGCCTGCCTCTTTCCTTGGGTCAGATATGAAGACCAGAGCGCTGACAACTTCTGAACAAATTGCAAGCCCCCCCCCCCCCCCCCATGAAGTAGATCTTCTTGTAACTACCTTTTCCGCTCTGTGTCATATCTTGTTCAACAGGTAGGGTTTGATGGACAGGAGGAATGCAGGCTGAGGGATTTGTTTTGTAGTGGCAGTCCGTTCTTTGGGTGTTCTTAAGCAAACAGAGCGGCGCTATGTCCTGTTTTTACGGGTTTCACACGTCACTGTTCAAACTCTCAAACAGGCTGGTCCCCAAGAGTACATGGAAGAGAGCAAACAGTGCTCTAATACTTCACCACCATGACCTTCTGCTAACTTGATACACACACACAGCACACACACCGTCTCCCAATGCAGTCGGACCGTGCTTGTGAAATGTTCACTTTCATCCCAGGTTTTGGTGGTTTATTAGTTGTGCAACTGACCGAGATAAAGCAACAAAGACCAGCAAAATGTTGGCGAAGACCAAATCCGTGCTTTAGCACTTGGAGGGTTGATAATGCACAAGTGTGGGCCTCAGTTCACAACTTTAACACCCTTTTCTCTTCTTTAATTGTATTTAATGAAGGACTTTCCACTGTCTACATTTCAATGAAATAGACTTTTTAAAAACAAGTGTCTCATTATTACAGGCGGTGGGTGCTATATGTCATGTTTGAGTAGCACACGGAGTGTTCCGTCCTAATTGAGTGCTACTTTAATGCGTTTGGGTCAAATGCACGGAAAATAAAGGGGTTGGGAATTCTGTGGGGAAAGTTTGAAAGCTCATAAAATGATGGATTTGCAAGTGCTCCCTAAATTCCAACAAAATGTATCGAAAACAGTACAATGTCTATTTTTTTATTGACGGCATGGAAAAATCTAGAGGAAGCGTGTAGTGCTCCCTGGTTGGTGCACACCACTGTGTCTCGGGCTGATTTAGTTTATGTAAGCATGTGTGAAGTGTCTGGACTTGTGTGTCACTGCAGTGTGCCTTTTATAGTACTGCCAAGCTCCCTGCCATGTTGTCCTTTTTATACAAACAGAAAGGAAGCAAACAAAACCCACTGCTTCTATAGATCCCTCTGCGATCCTCTCTTTACTGTTCTTTTTCTTTCCGCTTGTTTTAAATCTGTCTCCGATATACGAGGCATTCCTTTGTGGTTGTGTAACATGATTTGAGGCGAACGGGGAGAGAGAGAGAGAGAGGGCGAATGAGGCAGAGAGAAAGAGAGGGAGAGGTTTGTCTTGCTGGGTTTCATGTCCTACTGTACGCTCATATTTCTCAGCCCGCTTCACAGTTGTGGGTAGCTGGCTTATCGTTGGCCTCCTCGGCTCTTTCCGCCATGCGTGGCCCATGTTAATCTCTCTTGTGTACAGTAAACCGCCCCTAATAACCCTGCACACGATTAAAGCAAACATCTTAATAACGGCCTGCCTCATTATCAACTCACACTGGGAAAATGAGTGGCTCGACCTCACCTCTATAATCCTTCATAATGTGGCTCAGAAATAGGACACCCTGCTTATAAATAACCATAAAATGCAAGCTTGTCGGATTTTCTCTTTTTAACAATCAACAGGTTTTTTCTCTGTTGGCATTTTTACATGAAGGAATTGTTAGTAATGAGTCTGCCATTATGATTTTCTGCTGTTTATGAAAAGACGAGCAGCAACAATAAGAGAGAGGTGCAGGATTGAATGTAGGGTGTTGCTCTAGAGGGTGCTGTTCACTGAGGAACTGTACAGTCTCTCCCTTCATCCCTGCTGCTCTCGCTAAATCCTATTATTTTTATTCACTAGAAAACACTTAAAAACATCCTACTTTTGTGCTGCTCTTTACATGATTGCTACTACAGTAGCACATGTGTTGTTTTTTTTTCACAATTGATCAGATCAGATCAGATTCAACTCTCAAGGGAAAGTGAGACAAATAATATGAAATACAATCAATAAAACTGTTTCTCGAAGGAAAGTCTTGCGGAGTGTGTGGTATTGTGCTGCAAGGCTTTTTTTTGACATGACATTCGGCCATTGTAATCCTTCTGTGTTTGTGTGTCTGTGCGAGTGTGTGTTTGTGTGTGTCCTCCTCACCTGTGGCTCCCACTCCCACACGCGCACACAGGCACACAAACGCCCGCAGATGTTTACACAAGTCTCACACACAGCCAACAAGGGCCCGACGACGAGCTGTCAGTCAGACCTCCACCGGCAGAGCGGAGATGGGGAAGAATGTGTCCGTGGTGATGGCTCTACACCTGTGCTGTCTGCGGTTTCCTGCGGCGGTATCGCAGGGTGTAATCCCTAACATCGCCTATGTTTATGCTTGTGTTTTTAGTTACAGGCCTGATACTCGCATGCTTTGGAGCTTAGATCGGACTTCTGCTTCACTTACTGGCCCAGGGGCATCCTCCCCAGCCTGCCACACACAGGCTCATCGGCATGCACGAGTACAGTTAAAAACCACAGTAGCTATTCTCATATACATCCTTCATTCCCTTCATGTGCATACAGTCAAGTGTGCACTCATAGAAAGTTACTTTAGTTCTAAATTTCTGCAAATCAAACAAGAGGCTGTTGTGCTAAAAGTTGTTATGTAAAAGGTAATTCATGCCCAAACTCTGTTCTAAATTTAGAATGTGCAAAACCACATTATTCTGTTGATCTGGACTTGGATTGCCAAAGTAAGATCATTTACGGGGAACACTAAATTGCGGTTGCTTCCTCGCGTACTCGGAGTATTTGAGGAGGTCTTTTTTTTGTTGTTTTATATGGTTTGTATTTCGTCATGAGTGACGCCGGCTGCACCGCTGAGGTCATAAACGGGGAGGAGAAAGCTCCAGTGCCAGCAACTGAACTCTCTTTTTATTTTAGTAAATATGCTAAATTTAGAGCTCGGCCGCGGCCAAAAGTTCGTCCCAAACTCCCTGAATGACACACCTTTCGAGAAGTGACTCTCAACATCTGCTATTTTTATCACGGCCTTCCTTTTTTTCTCCTCTGTTTTTGTCCCTTTCTTTCCTCTTTTTTTTCTTCTTCTTACAGACACACTATAAATGATGCAGTCCTGCTTTTCATTTATAAGATTTGTCGGGTGGATTATTACAGAGAGGACACTAATTCCCACTAAAGGAATGACATGCTCAAGGAGTGTTTACGTACACCCTGTACTCTGACGTGAGTAGCAGCGGAGAACCAGTAACGGGTCCTCTCTGCCAACACACCCTCCTTACACCGCTGCCCAGTGAATGGTCTGTTGTGATGGTGGCGTTTCAACCCTTTTAAAGTGAGATGGCCAAGTGGATATTGAGATTTGGTTTTGCCACTTTCAGGAACAAACCAAGCTGTGACAGTGCATGAAAAACCGTACACTAGATAAAGTCTAGCCTATTATAAGAACAGTATGATGTGACATTGATTAGATCCGCCCGTCGCCCGTCTGTTATTTCTGTCCCTGACCCATTCTTGTGAAGCGCCGCTCTGCACCGCTGTAAAGTGGTCAGTGTTTTGGGAACCTGGTCCTGTGGGTTGAGACTCTGAACTATTTTCCATTCGTACCTCATATTACATGCTCTAACACTGTTTTACCTAAATGAACCCAGCTGAACAAATGGAGTAAAGAGTTGAGCAGATATAGCAATGGAATACTATATGCTGTAGTTTTATGAAGTGACGTTTGTCCTCTTTTGATTTTTTTTTTTTTCTCACAGTGAAGGGATCCAAATTCTTGGAATGAGATGTCGACCTTTAATTGCTTCCCAGGGAATTTCTGGTGAGTAGCCTATATGTGTTTCTAAAGAAATATAAGCTAATAAGTCTAAGCAGAAGTTTACAGGAGAGAACTGAAACACCACAAGCACACTGTGTCCGTGGGCTGAACCACGTGTCCCGGCTTAGCTGCCATAAGTGTTGTATTCTTATTCTTATTTTGTCCAGTGGTGTTTTACCTTACAGCTCTTGCAGCTCACCCAGGCATGTTGAATGTTTTCACTACCTGTAACAAAACAAATGTATGCCAGAGAGACTTTTAGTGTTTCTATAGTGTTGATATATCTAACGGAACTATTGGCACAACTGGGAGACAAATATCAATTATTTAGCTTAACATAAGGAATATAGATATCATTTACCGAGGGATATTTGTTGTGATGTCCCAAAGAGATCGTTCTCATCCTGAAAATGGGTTTTTTAACTCAAACCATTTAATTACGCAGCTTTTTAAAGGCACAGCCATCAGTACTGTGTTGTGACTGTGCTGTATTCTGCTGTACTCAATGTACTTGGCCCCTCTCCCACATCCCATCATGCCCCCCTTCCTCCCCACCGGTGCCCCCCTATCCCTTACTCCCTCGTTCAGCTGGTCCACCCTCCACCAACCAGTGTGTGCCTGTCAGCATGTCACCCCAGGGTGATGCCCCTCTCTCAGCCCCTCTGGGCCCTTTTGACTCCGCAGCACTCCGTGTTTGCCCAATCATTTGGGAGCCGGATACGGGGATGAATTGTTAACTACAGCAGGGTCAGCCTGTGCCCCACAACCCCCGGCCTTCTCTGCCCTCCCGACCTGCTGTTGACTCATCTCCATGGCAATGGGGCAGGAATTTGTGTCCGCTGCCAACCAGCTCCAAGCCACAACCGCCCCCCTCTTCTCTTCATCCTCGTTGCCTCTGAGCGTCCAATCGAAAGGCAGCTGAAAGGAAGTCACATGGTCAGGAAGTGTTGCGGGTGCATCCCACTGAGAGCAGCGCTGCTGTCACTGGAGCGTTGCTCTGCTGGGAAAGAAGGCCTCAGGGGAGAATGTGTGTGATGTGTTTAGTAGGAAAGTAAGTACAGACCATTGATGGTTTCCCGACATACAAGCATGCAGACATTTTTAAACACACAATCAAAAATGGACACACTGCGCTTTATGGAGCACATATCTCCTGCATTTTTATTGCTATGATTTTGGTACAAAATAATAAAATGCTCTCTTAGATGAAATATGGTCCTTTCTCTCTATACTAACACAGTTTAATCCCCATCATTGTCTCAACATATCGAAGCTCAAGCGTGTACGTATGTGTGTGTATTTGTGTGTGTTTTTTGTGTTTGCCCTCACACAAGTTATTAGCTTAGGGCAGGTGAGTGTTTGCCTACCTGTCTCCCTTTATGAAGCGAGTGTTTGCCCAAGGAATGCACCACGTCCGATTTGTCATTGACTCTTATTGTTCAGCTCATCCAACTGGTGCTGCGCCCCCGGCAAGTGAGAAATATGTGCTTTTCTTTCCTTTTTTTTTTCTCTCCCGTCTTTCTCTGCGTATTTGCTCGTGTCCTTGGATGAACATTTGACTCGGTGGGGAAAGTATTAAGGATGGTAAATGCATTCGGGAATGAAAGTGAGACGTGTCCAGACCTTTTTTCATTGAGCAAAAGTGGAAAGTGAATTGATCATCATCATCAAGTTGAATGTCACCAACTTCAGATCATTTTTACAAATGTTTTGATGGAAGCCATGCAGTGTTTGAGCCTGGCCCCTCATGCTCTCCATCTGTAACTACATGGAACGTTCTTGTTCTAGACCTGGGTCAGTTGAGATAGAAAATTACACAAGTCGTCACTCTTCAATTATGCATTTTGCGAACTGAATTAAGAAAAAAAGAGAAAAAGGGGTATGACGTGATTGAGAGGAATTACTTCTAACCAGGCACATCCTGTCCTATACGTACATATGAACCCCGATGAGCAAATTTGGCTCCCTCGCTTTGTGGTAATGAGGAAGCCTCAGCAAACCAATCCCTCCCACTGCACTTGAGCGGTTAACAGAGTCATTACAAATGGCATGTGCAGCTTTTCATGCTTGTTTATTTACAGAGGGTTTTAATCTTTAAACATCTTTATATAGCAACGCATTTCGTTTGCGTTCAAGTCACTATTTGTTGAAGTGTGTGGATTTCTGCGGGCATCTGTGTGGAAAAGGTCCACGTTAGTGCTGGTGTGAATATATTTAGTACATCTGAATGTGTGTGCCTGTGTCTGTTTGTGCGGCTGTCGTCCTGTGCCACCCATCTGGGTGGTCCTCACGGCTGGTTTGATGGTAATCCCCCTGTCCCATAAATCAGTGTCCGGGCTCGGGCCGGGAGCTGATGCTGTGTGACCACTGGAGCGAGGGGCTCGAGGCACTAAGCCGAGACCCCAGCCGCTGCCCTGGCCCGGCCCGGCCACACGTCAGCTCTCCACACCATCTTTAGAATAACTCATCATGCATGGCTGACTTCGGGAAACTGCCTCAGCTCTAAGTCCATACGAGCCACCAACAATATAAGCCACAGTAGAAATGGAGGGCACACTCACAAACTGTAGCACCAGCAGATAAAGTTTCATGGCCTATAACCTGAACAGTTTGTGACTCCAGAGCCTTTCCCTCAAAAATCCAGGTTTTTTAAAACTTAGTCATTATGGATAATTTTCTTTTTGCAACTTTCAAATATTATTTCATGTATTTACTAGAATACCATTTGTTTGTTGTGACCGGTGGCTTCTGATAGCCTCCCAGAGAGCTGCTCTCAGTTCAAATGTTTCTGACTGAAAGTGCTGAGATTAAAGCCATATCTTGGTCTTTGTAGGGCCTATACCTCTCTCTGAGAATGAGGAGGGGAGGATGAAGGCCTGTTGGAGCTGTCTGGCTTGCATACAGCTCTCCGCTGAGCTTTTATCTAGGGAGATTGCTTGCAGCTCGGTCCAGACCCGGCTCCCGGGGAGTGCACAGTCCTGAGACCTGTGGCATTAATAAAGATAATGCTGTTTGGAATAATAACAGTCAATTCCGCCAAATAGAGGAGAGAGACAACAGAGTGTGGCGGAATACAAAAGAAGCCAAGATGAAAGGCTCAGACGTAGGCCTGTGCACCTCTCTGGCTCTCTTGTGGGAACTGATGGAACCGTTATCAGCATGCTCGCATACAAACAGCACTGAGAGGGATCCTATGCCGATTTTGACCCTCGGGTGCCATGACGCAGAAATGCAATTTGTTCTTTTGTCTGCCAAGATCACAGAGGGAGAGCAGTGACTTGTCTTTCTTTTTATTCGTACTTATTTTTTTTCTCTTGCTCCCCCTCCTTTTCATTCTCTCTGTTCCCCTTTGCCCTGAGTGAGTGCAATTTAGTTTGATGAGCAGGTGGTCTTTTTTGAATCTCACAGTGCTTTTGGCTCCCACCTCTGGCGTGTGGGGCATTGAGTTGGAGTCAGTCATGTAGGCCAGGATTAGAGGGGTGGGGGGAGAAGGAGGAGGAAGTCCAGTAAGAGTCTTCTTGGTATTGGCGACCTCAGCGCCCTGCAGTCAGAACCATGCGGAGTGCAGATTGAAAGAGTTATTTTGTTGCTAAAGCCCTCAGCCGCACCCCAGATGGCTTTTGTGCAGGCCAGGAGACATGTTTGGGGACAGGTTTAAAGCAACAGAGTCCTTAAGGCTTGGTGAGTCTCGGGGCTCAGCAGGTAAAGCGCTGTGGGCCAGACAGACGGAGAAAACAAAACGTTGCGGTCTGGGCACTTTTCCACCTTGAATCTGAACAGTGGAGCAGAACAAAATAGGTGGATTAGAGCAAAGGGAAGACATAGCTCTCAGCACACACACACACACACATATACAGAGTGAGATTAAGGCCTCCGAACATTCACCCAAGTTGAGACGTATTGGAGCATCTCATCTGATGTCACATAAGACAAAAGGGCTGGTAGAACAGATGGAGGGAAACATGCTGTGTCTGCATTTTTACCTCTTGCACACTTTTTCCTAGTCGCAGAAAACTGCACTGACCAAGTTACAAACTGCTTTCCCTGCTTTACCTTTGATCTCAGTTTCATCGCACTCTGCTAAGTTACTACTTAAAGGAATTTATGGCCCATTACTTTATCTGTCCAACAGGCCTCTGCCAATAATCTCCATGGTGACACCGAGACAAGTAATCAATATTTTTGTCAATGATGCTAAACAGGTGTGCTGCTCAGCTTTCTTTCTTGTGTTGAGTTGTGTCATAAAATGCCTTCTGCCCTTGAGCATGAAGACTTTCCAGACATTCAAATATTAAATGTCAGGGAGTGATACAAAAAGGTCTGTTAAGGCCAAAATATGAATCTAGGGCTACCAATTTGATTTGATTATTAATCTGTTTTAATTGTTATTACGATTAATTGTTCACTCTGTAAAATGTTTTTTGTCTGTTTAAACATTTTCTTTACAATTTCTTATTATTCCGACATCAATTTTTTAGTTCGATCAAGGTTCCTAAATCCATCCATCCATCCGTTATCCAAACCGCTTATCCTGTTCAGGGTCGTGGGGCGCTGGAGCCGATCCCAGCTAACATTGGGCGAAGGCAGGGTACACCCTGGACAGGTCGCCAGTTCATTGCAGGACACATATAGAGATAGACAAACATTCACATTCACACCTACGGCAATTTCAAGTCTCCAAATAACCTAAGCTGCATGTTTTTGGACTGTGGGAGGAAGCCGGAGAACCCGGAGGGAACTCACGCTGCAACGGGGAGAACATGCAAACTCCACACAGAAGGACCACCTGGGATTGAACCCAGGTCCCTCTTGCTGTGAGGTGACAGTGCTAACCACTACAGCACCGTGCAGCCCAGTTCCTAAATCCAAAGATGTTTAATTCAAAATGACATGAAAACAGAAAGAAGCAGCTTATGATCATATCTAAGAAGAAGTTTTACGTTAGAAGTAGTTGGCTGTGTCAGTACCTGAAAATTTGTTCTGGCAAAATCTGATAGTCGCCC